TACCCAACATGCATAACACACGCAAAACAGACAACACGCGCGCTACTCGCACATCACAGCTCGCACTAAATAAGAACTAGAAATTATAAATTTACGCCATCCAACATATCTTTCACCGCTACAGTCCCATCTAAATATGTAAAAAATGAAATCTAAAAAATTAGAATATGTACATAACAAAAATACAAAAATACAATCTAAAAGAAATATCCATAATAGTTGTATTAATAAATCTTACTTGACTAATAACCGTATGACAAAGTAATTTCAATTTCCATTCTGCATACCGAGGGGTGGGGGGGCGGAAATCGCCCGAAGGCATGGTTTAAAGACACTTGCAGTAGAACCTCCGTCTCAAACTCCCTGGAATGAAATGTGAAGACGCATGTCAACAGCCAGCCGAAGAGAGCGTAGTCAAGGTGTCAGAAGACACTCTCCGGATACGTGGTGTCGCGAAGACACGCTGACAAAGCGCAGACACGTCCTGAAAAGTCTTGAAGACACGTACGCGGAAGAAACGTCGCCTCGCTCCGGCGCAAACACCTACGAGTAGCGTCGTGAAGACGCGTAGCGTCGACGCGCGGCGGCCTGTACGGGCTCTGACAATAAGAGCTCTGACTGAAGTATTGGAGGGCGTCTCATCAGTCCAAGGCCCCACCCTCGGAGTTCGAGATCTACAAGAGTTCTGATTTCAAACCAGGTGCCCCTGATTTATAATTTCCACGATATTTTCACGAATAGCCCGTAGAAAGATATGAGAGCATACGATTTTGTCTTTAGAATGCGTCCGAGTTTGTTTAGTTAGATAAGTACACATTACAAGATGTTGAATACAACACCTCATGGTATCTTCAAAATGAGGTTATCTGGCCACAAAACCAAAAATCCGTGGCCGAAGCAAAGGCGAATCTTTGGATGTTTTCTACGGCGGCTTTGCAGTGGTCGTCGCCTAGCACGGCGAATGCTCAGGGTGGTTCGGGATGTGAGGTTTATGCTCTGCGATTTCTAAGGTAAAGATTCCATCGTCCCGGTAGTTGACTACCAATACCCAAGCTGGTGGACGAGGCAATGCAGCTCAATAGCTGTGTGCCGCAACCAAGGCGGTGCGCAGGCAGGACGCTTCGGTCTTAGGAGTTCCCATGACACACCCGTACACTTTTACGCCAACAAAGTTTCGTTCAGTGTTCAGGCCTGGGCCACGAGCCTTCGCTGAACTTGGTGCTGTCGGCATGAGAGACAGCATGGGCCCAGGGCAGAGCCAAATCAGACCTAAAAAAGCACACGGTCCAACAAGGCCTCCAGTTGGCCCCTGCCTCCATCAGCTCAGCCTCAACACCGGCTCAACCCTCAACCTCCCGACCCCTCAGCCTGAACACAATAGTAGTTGACCCGCACACACAAACAGCTGCCCTAAGCCCATCACCCTGAATCGTATGGAACCCAAAACCCTATATAAACCCGAAAAAAAACCATGTAAAACCCTAAACCCCATGGCCTCTTTTGCGGCCGCCTCCGCAGCCACTGCCACTGCGAAGGCGGCAGCAGCGCGCATGGCTTGGACTCCACCGGAGGCCTAGTTAGAGACACAAAACCGGCATTTTTTTAAGGCCGAGCTCAAGGCTTACGAGGGATTAAGGCTTGGGTTTACGGCGTTTAACTTGGGACAAGTCTCTCGGTTCGCAGTCGGCCTATCAGCAGCTTGGCGGGAGCCAGCTTAGGGTTTAAGGGCGGGATTTCCGGTTCTTTTTGGCTCCCACATATCCATAGCGAGCACAACAAGCGGCTGAGCGGACTACAGGATCTGATGCTACGATAAGGAAGGCATCACAGATCACGTGATACGTCTCTCAGATTCTTCACAGTTCGTTGAAACAAAAAGAAGGTAGCAAGGCAAGTGTGAAGAGATTGTCGAATCAGTTTGAAACCACGGTTGTAGTCTCGTTGATCTTAGGGCTTTTGGACCTTGTAGCAACCCTTCTATCGAATCTTACTTTTGGACCTTGTAGCTACCCTTCTATCGAATCTTACTATAAGGGCTTATAGAAACTGTTATCATTTCGAACCCTTATAGAACCCATTGTAGCAACCCTTACAGGAGCACTTATGCAGAAATCCTTCTAAACAACCTGTATAACAACTCTCGACAGAATTCTTGTAGAACTCCCTGTCGCTTCCTTAATTTGCTAGGAACCCTCTGAGCTCAGAGCTCCAGATCTTCCTCGTGAAGCTTGCGACGCTTGCATGCTGAAGGCCAGGGTCACCTCCAGCTGGGCCGTTCTGTGAGGGTTCTAGGGGGTTTTCTTGAGGTCGGGGTTTAGGATTTCAGGATTTGGGTGTATTGCGGCCTCGTCACGCATCTGAAGGTGAACATGCTAGTGTTGCTTCGAAAACTTCTTGCTATCGAGTGCCACCCATCCACGCCGGCAGCTGAACCATTGTTTAAGTTTTTGGTCTTTAACCAGAACCTCCGATTCAAAACATTCCGGACTTTTGGGGGCCTGTGAAGTTTTCCAGAGGGTTTTGGGCCCCACCTCTCTGATTCAACTTCAACAAACTACACCAAGCCAGTAGATATCAAGTCTCCTGAGTATGAAAGTACGGTATTCAGCATGTGCACGAGTCTTGCAACCATCTATGAATACAGCCTACCCTTACATATCCAGATTCATAATCGCTGTTTCTGTCTAGTGTCAGTTCATAAGACCTACAACTGGTACTTTGTCAGACTTACAAGTGTTTGCTCATCACACCGACAAGTCCTAGTTACGTGCTATGTTATCCCACGTGTTGAATTGTTGCCATTTTTCAAAGTTCCATTCATTGTCATTGTATCTTGGGAATCGTAATCTCTACCCTGAAGAGGAATGAGCAGCTACTGTTGGAGGCAGCCTCTATGTCATAAGGTTTGCTTTGGCTCCCGCATCGCAAGTTCGCAAGCCCGGCAGGCTTACCAGGCGGCACACTTGCCATGAGAAGGTAGGGAGGGAAGAGGCTTCTCTGTCTCGCGTGACACTATGGCATAGAGGTCTTGGATTTTAGGGTTCAGGGTCTCAGGGCCAACACAACTAAAGCAAACAAGCACGCAGCTTATGCCCGTAAGCCTGATCTAGACTCCTCGAGTGCATTTTACTATGTATCAGCAAAGACTAGGCACCCGCCAGTATGAACGATAAAGCCATCTTTTCTCTGCTTGGGTGACCGCTTCGAGAAACTATAGCCGTTAGACAAAAACCCTGTGAAACATAGCTCGAATCTGCCTCCGCCTTCAGCTGCTTCACGATCTGGCAACGGCTGGGGCTTTCGGAAGATAAGGGTAGCTTATTTTTGGGGGGAACCCTCCCACAGTATGTATTAGGGGTCATACGAAAGGCTATATATGATGAAATTACACATCTTACCCAATTGTTTCAGTGGGGGGAGTATCCCATCTATATTAGGGTCTCCTACTGAAACCAAAGTCTAGAAGACTAAGACCTCAACCACGAGGCAACCAAGTGACGACCTGTTTCAGTCGGATTTGGGGCTGAACGCAACAGGATCTCTTGAGATCCTGTTGCTATAGTAATAGTAATACTAATACTAATAGTAATAGTAATAGTAGTAGTAATAGTAATAGTAATAGTAATAGTAATAGTAATAGTAATAGTAATAGTAATAGTAATAGTAATAGTAATAGTAATAGTAATAGTAATAGTAATAGTAATAGTAATAGTAATATTAATAGTAATGTCCACTGGTACTTGGGTCCCGAAATGCCCGATACTCTGCAATCCCTGAGGAGGCTTTAGACGTACAACTGGCTGAGTGGTGTGCCCCGAAAACAGACGTGGTTTAGAGTCTTGAGGGTGTAAGCCTGATGCTAAACCACTTAATAAGCGTGCCTTAATTCCTGAAACATGGTTCGCTTGCACTTAACAGCTACTGACGCCCTCACATTTATCCTAATGCGTAGTGGAGGCATGTAACTGCGGCAAGTGGCCAAGCTCTGAAGAGGACAAACCCATACAAATCCTGAATCTCGTAGCAAAACCGCGAAAACCCTACTATACAGCCTTTGAGTGAGGTAATAAAACAAACCGTGCCCCTCAAGTCTAAACATCCCTAAGCCCAAGACCTTAAACTCTACACCCGAAAAGGTATTCAATGGCCTTTTCTAGTCGCTCGCGCAAGGCAGCTTCGAGGGTGCTACCCTCACCTCGGAGTGCGGCTAGAGCTCGGGAAGCGACATCATGTAGGGTCTCGTTATGCGTTTGCCCATAAAAGAAGCAACGTACATATTAACACCCACGAGCCATGTATGCACTCACCAAGGCCCTGAAATAAACCCTGCTTCACATCAAGAAAAACATGGAGTGGCCAGAACAAATACCTACCAAGGAGAAAGCGTACAGGAGTACAGCAACATCTCGTGCGCGCACGTAGCTTGGGCAGCAGCACCTGCAGCAACAGTACCAGCACGAGAAGTTGCTACCCAGTACAAGTCGCCAAGAGCAGCATGAGTCGTCATCGAGTTCGTCCTGGTCGCAGCAGGAGTAGGTGTGGACCAACGCGTCGCAGCAACAGTAGTAGCACTGAAGCAGATGAGCAGAAACTCTGCGGGAAGCAGGGCAACGGATCAATTTGCAATACCAATCTACACCTTGGAACACAAGGTCAGGCTTTGGAGGAGCTTGCTGAGTCGCGAAAGGACTGAGTCAGGACTTTCCGTCGATGTCCGACCATGCAATGCGGGTGGCGTCCATCGTTGAAGACTCTGCTTTGCTCTTGAAGAAATTCCCAAAGCCCCATATTATTCATATCATGAATATTATTCATATTATGAATACTATTCATATTATGAATATTATTAGTATTATTAGTATTATGAATCTTATGAATATTATGGAGGTTCCAGGACACCCCACCCCTCACCTCCAAGGCCTGGTGGGACACTCCAGGCTCTCACCCGAAGGTGCAGGAATACTAAGACTTATAGTAGTAGTCGTAGTCGTAGTCGTAGCAGTAGTAGTAGTAGTAGTAGTGGTAGTAGTGGTAGTAGTAGTAATATTAACAGTAGTAATCGTAATAGTCATAGGAACATCATTTATTGCGAAAACACTTCGCTGCCACATTACTCACTCGTTGCGCCCCCAACAAACTGTTGCCGAAGCCACAAACTCCAAAGCCCCAAACCCTGGAAGCAACACCCCCAACGTTCCCAAAAAACGACCAGACAAACCTTGAACTGTAGAGGCCCCTAAGTCGCAACGAGTACCTGGCCTTCGAGCAAGTCGAGGTTTGGGGGCCTCGCAGCCACCTGGATCGGTCTTTTTTGGAAAACGCGTACAAAGGGTGTGAAACTGTTTCTATGATAAGGAAGAATGAGATTGTCTATGTTTTATGGCTTTTGTAAGAGCTGTTTTTCCATCGATTCTCTCGGCCCTGGTGTCTTTCTTCTGTGCTTGCTGTCCAGCTTTCAATATTTTCTCCCCTCGTCCTCAATTCATGCCATACAAGTACATTGCCCAACAGGTCTAAGCTAAGGTTAACGAATAAAGTGTAAGGGCCAACAACCTTCAAGTTCTCCCCAAATTCCTGAGTGAAAGATCTGAAAACTGAACAACCCTAGACTTTTCAGAACTTCCCAAAACACCAACTTATACACTTTCGAAACACAGTGCTTCTTCGCTCTGTCGTGGGTTTTCCGAGACATGCAATAGAGGATGTTAAGCGGAGGCTGGGCTTTCCATATTTACTTGGCATGTGCTCCACAGTGGCCTAGGTTCGTGCTGCCTTGCACCTTTCCTCTACAGGTGTTCAATTCGCAAGCTCAAGCTTCCTTCGAAGATTGCGTGTGTATAGACTAACGAAATATCGACGAAACCAACCAAAACAACATCCAACACAACTCACCTACGCAGTCACTATCACAACTCATCCGTGACACTGCACGAAAGGCTTTTGCATAATTTGTGTTTGTTTAAAGATCGCTTGCATAAGCTTACAGACAGCGGTTTTAGGACAACCCCCCACATGTTATCTCTGATCGGATAGCTACTAGGACCCTCCCCCCCTCCACCCCCCGCCCTCGACCCTTCGGCTTCAGCAAGCTGAAGGCTTCGAAGCCTTCGAAGGGGAAGGTCGAAAGGGAGCTTCGAAGCTCCTTGACGCCGAAGGGTCTGAAGCCTCTTCAGCTTCGCAAGAACGAAGGGAGCTTCGAAGGACAGGATGAGCCCCTTCGTCTTCGACCTCGAAGCCTTCGAAGCCTCTCCCCCTTCGTCCTCCCCTTCGAAGCCTTCGTTTTTTCCTTCGTCCTCACCCTTCGAAGGCTTCGAAGCCTTCATCCTCACCTTCGAAGCCTTTGTCCTCAGCTTCGAAGCCTGTAGTGGTAATACCAGTAATGGTAATAGTGATAGTAGTAGAAATAGTCAGAGTAAGAGTAATAGTGATAGTAATAATCATAGAGATGGTAACAGTAATAGTAACAGTATTAGTAATGGTATTAGTATTAATATTAGTCTTAGTATTAGTAATAGTGATAGTAATGGTAACAATGATGGTAATAGTAGTAGTGAGAGTATTCGTAGCAGTAGTAGTAGTAGTAGCAATAGTAATAGCAATAATAATAGTAATGGCTATTGTAATAGTAATAGTAGTAGTAATAGTGATAGTGATCGTAATAGTAGTAATAATAGTAATTCTTCGCGGCTTTAGAGAGCGGGGAGTTTAGTCTGAAAAAAGCGGGGGGGTTGAGGGGGGCGCAGCCCCCCCATTTGCAAACCTTTTAAACCCCTCACGATTGATTGTGTTTTTTTCGCGTTAAACCCGCTTAAGCGTTGATGTCTAGCTTTCTACTTGTTGTGCGTTGGCGAATACGCTTTTGTGCATTTCTTCGCGGCTTTAGAGAACGGGGAATTTAGTCTAAATAAGACGGGGGGTCTGGGGGGTCTAAAAAAAGCGGGGGGGGTTGGGGGGGGGACCCCCCCCCATTTGCAAACCTTTTAAACCCTTCACGATTGATTGCGTTTTCTTCGCGTTAAACCCGCTTAAGCGTTGATGTCTAGCTTTCTACTTGTTGTGTGTTGGCGAAGACGCTTTTGTGCATTTCTTCGCGGCTTTGGAGAACGGGAAATTTAGTCTGAAAAAGCGGGGGGGTTGGGGGGGGCGCAGCCCCCCTCATTTGCAAACCTTTTATCTGCTTCAAGATTGATTGTGTCTTCTTCGCGTTAAACACCCCTAAGCTTTGTTGTCTGGCTTTTCCCTTCTTCTGTGCTGGCGCGTACGCTTCTGTGCATTTCTTCGCGGCTTTGGAGAGCGGCGTTGCAAGCTTTGGAATCATTCACGATTGACTGTGTTTTCTTCGCTTTAACGCCTGAATATAGCGTTTACAATACGTTTTTGTTTATTTCAATGTGGCTTAAAGGAGCCGGGAGTTTAGTAAACCAAATGGGTATTTTTGGTCTTCTTTTACCCCTTATGAAGGATTTAGTCTGGCTCTCTGATTCTTGCGTGTTGGTGAGTTTGCTTTTGTTCTGGGGAGTTCCTCCATTTTGCAAATCTTCCGATCATTCACGGTTGATTGTGTTTTCTTCACGCTCACCCCCTGAATGCCCTTGAAACCTTGTTGTCTGGCTCCCTCCTTGTGCGTTGGCGAATACGATTTGATTCAATATTATAGTAATAGCAACAGTAATAGTAAAAGTAATAGTAACAGTAATAGTAGTAGTAGTAGTAGTAGTAGTAGTAGTAGTAGTAATAATAATAGTCGTACTAGTAGTAGTAGCAATAGTAATAGCAATAGTAATACTAATCATGATATTAGTAATAGTAATACTCATAGAAATAGTAATAATAATAATAGTCATAGTCATAGTCATAGCCATAGCGATAGCCATAGCCGTGGCCGTAGCCGTAGCCGTAGCCGTAGCCATAGCCATAGCCATAATAGTAATAGTAATAGTAATAGTAATAGTAATAGTAACAGTGACAGTAACGGTAATAGTAATGGTAATGGTGATAGCAGTAAGCTGATGAGCACCACCGGAGACCAGAGAAAGCAGCGGACTAAGGGACCGCAGGACCAGGAGACCACGGGACCAGAGGACCACCCCTCGGCCAAACCTTCTCAAGGACAGCCTATAGCCAAACCCCAAAGAAAAAACCCTTGGCCCGCCAAAACTCCAGGCCCTAAACCCATCTTTCCAACCCTTCCGACAAGGCCTCACGGTCGGACTCCAAGCGCACCTGGCAAATTTTTGCGCTGAACGTTCCTCTCCCTCAGTGCTATAAGTAGTGAAAAGGCACAAGGATGGGGTTTGCTCCGTTTCTTAACTCGCTTTCCGTGCTGCCGAGCAGAGTTCCTGCTAGGCTTTGGAGATGCTTTCGAGGCAACCTCCGGCCAAAAAAAATGACCTCCACATCATGGTGACATCCCCAATATCAAGCCAATACCTGCCGAAACGATATCACCACTTCCCCAATCTTTCTCAGCTCACCGACATCAAAGCCAGCACAACAACCACCATGAGCCACATCATCCTGATAGATGCGAGCAAGGACGAGGCTCTGCAGCTCGCTGGTAGGCTTGAGCTCATTTGATTCGGACTCACCACCCTTGGGTAATTTCGGGTGACGTTACAGGGGTCCCCTGCACGACCTCAAGCGATCTGGTGGATCCAGCATCTGCACGATTTGTTGCCCAGTAAATACATACAGCAAGCAGATCTGAGCTGCAAGCCTGACAAATCCTGAAAACCTGGCAAACCCCAGCAAACCTCCCAAACCCAAAACACAAATCCTAAACCCGAAATCCTAAACAATTTGCACAAAGCCCTCCAGGACAAAAGGCAGGGGGGGGTGCAGGGATGAGACTTTATAGCGGCTTCCTTGACGGAGCCTTAACGACATTGCACAGATTGTGCATGCTGTCACCTGCAAACCTTAAACTCTTTTTCACTACAGTCGAGCACTGCAAAAGGTTATTTGCATCCTGAACCCAAAGCCCGTAGTTAGATCCTAAACCCCCAAAGCCTTCAACGTCCCTGGGACGTGCTGCGCTGGGGGCTGCGACAGCTCTGGCGGAGCGACCTGCAGGCGTGACCCTTGACCACCAGAAAGCACAGAAGCTCCACGGCCCAAAGGCCAAGGCAGCTCTTAGCATGCAACCTCCAGGAAACCCGAAAGACCGGCATAAACATCATAAATCCCCGGTTTACTCTAAAGACTAAAGACCACCCAAGGCCCTCTCGCAGACTCGAAGTCAGTAAGCCCTGACGTGAGCAACACCTACGAAACGACCATGGCTGCTATTGCAACAGCTACGACAACGACGACCACCGCCACCGCTAGCACCACCACCCTAGACTTCCCACGCACCCTCGCACCAATGCCGCTGCAAACCCCCTACGAGCACGACAACGACGACGATGGAATGCCTGATGCCGGGTTCAAGATTTAGCCAGCATGATTTGGCCTCTAGCCTTTGGAGGCTAATATCAAGAGCCTGGCTAGTCGATTTAAAACTCCTGTCACTGTTCTTCTCCACGTGTTACGTCAACAGCAAATGCACAAGGTCTTGTTCCATCTTGTTGGGTATTATACTCACAGACTCCAAACGACCTCAGTTCTGCGTGTACTTTGAACGTGGCCTAGATGTTGGTGCTTCGATGTCTGGGGCGTCGGCGATACCACACAGCCCGTTGAGGTCAGTGTTGACCTTCAGGCCTTTGAGCCTTCCCGGGTGAAGGGCTAAGGGCATGTCGTGTTACGTGTTAGAGCCTTCAGGTCATTGTGTAAGGCTTAGGCCTTAGGGTCCTTGGGTTCGCCAACTAGAGTCTTTGTATTTTTTTGCATGTATGCCCGAAAGAAATTCGGATACAGCTTCACCAACTGCCGGAGTGTTATTAACACACGCACAAAAGCCTCAATAATAACCCCGCTTCACATATGGGTGCCATTGTCAGGTTGAGGGCAAAGCTTTAGAAGCCGAGACCCCCGGGGCCCCCAAAACCTGCAAGCCCCACGTCCCACTTGCCCAAGGAACAGCGCAGTCTTTGAGCGGCCATTCCTACGCCGCAACATTACTAAACCATGATTTCTGAGCAAGAAATCCCAAGTCTGATGCGGCCTAGCCCTGGACAGGCTGCTGCGCGAAAGCGACCCCTCTCTGCACGCCGGACACCCCGTCGCACCTTTTTGCTACTAAGCTGCTACTGGGGTCAAGTCTAGCCAGACCACAAGATGACCCCGTCGGATCCTAAACCCTAAACACAAGAAAGCTGTCGCAGCCGGACCGAAGGGACGCGACACCCGAAGATACCCGAAAGCCTATACCCACAGTCCCAAAACATATATAACTATAAAACCCATAACGCCAGAACCAATCTTTGCAACCATGAACTTGGGCTCATGGCCCCCACATCCACATGCCCCCACCCTGAGTCCCAAGCCGAAATCTCGAAGCCTAAACTTCCTAAGCTCTTCTCACGGACCCCAGTGCCTGACGAAGCTATATGGCGGGAAGCGAGACAAATCGTTTGACTCGCCGTCCTTGTCGCGCCAAAGGAGGGCTCTTTGGGTGAGTCCAGAAGGCACAAGAAACTACCCCCGGTTTGAGTGCACGGTGGCTTAGTACAACACTGAAACTACTTGTTCTGGTGCTGCTTGTGTTCGTTCTCGTGCATCTTTGCCGAGGCTGCTTGTGCTTTCCTGCCCAAGCTTGCATGTACATGTTCTACAAGTGGACACGGGTCTTGAATCGGTGCCAGGCCCCAATCGCAACCCGTAGCAAAAAAACCCTCATACAGCGGAAAACAAGCTTTGCATAGCTGTAAGGACAAGCAACAGAACGACAAACCCAAAGCCCTATCCTGAGAGTCTAGACTCGCTAGAACCGCTCGGCTCCCTTTGGCCTGCGCAGGCGGAGGCGGAGGGGCCACCGTCTTCTGGGGCGCAGATGCGCTGGAGCCTCGCCGCGCCTCTGCACTTAGGGCTTCAAGGGTTCAAGTTGCAAAGTTTAGGGATTGTAGAGGCTTTTAAAGTTTGAGGGTCCGGGCTTTTAGCGTCGAGCCTCAGAAAGAAGCAACCACTTGTTAGAGTAGTACCGGCCACGACAAGCACTTCCCAAAGAGCCAACCAACCTGAAGCAAAACATTCTCATTACACAATGTACGACTTCCTTATGGTTTGAGGATGACTCCCATTTTTAAGCGGGTGTTGGCTCTCTCCGTGTTCTCTTGGGTTTCCTGGCACCCAAGGTGGCATGATGCTTGTGGAAGGTTCCGCGCCTTAGACCATCTATCTTTTTTGCCCCTCCAGCGACCTTCCCGGACCCTAAAATTGCCCTACAGACACACGGGTGGTTGTCAAAAATTAGGGTCCCTTTTTGGGTACCCTAAATATTAGGTGCCCTAAGCCCTACTATATTAAGGACCCGAAAAGGTACCCTAATTATGACAATCACCCACATCAAGGCTGATAGGACAACTAATGAGCCGTGCTGTAGAGAAAAGCTGGAAAATGACGTGATCTTCTACTTGCATTCAGGCTGAAGCTCACCCGCGCTCCCGCCCTTGAGAAGCCCGAAGTCGGTCAAAAACGCCAGGAGGGGGTTCGGGGATGTAGTGCTTCCCAAAAGCATGCTGGCAAACGGATAAAAATTTTGATTCTAGAACTTAGGGCTTCGGAAACCTGAGATCTCCCATAATAAAACCTAATCCCTAGAATGAACCCTAAGCCCGACAATGTACCCCAAACCATTTAGTTGTGCACCTTTCTGTATATATATATATATATAGAAACAGAGTTTGGCAGTAAATTCCTGGCCTTCTTCCGCCGACGCGAGGAAGAGGAGCGCTTCCTGCTCAACCTGATCTCAGGTTCAACCTTTTGCCGACGACCCGAGAGTTCTGCATTTGTGTGTGTTTTGGTAGGCGTGCGGTTGCTGCCACCACCCCACCAGTGTCGGGGAGACCCCCCAAACACAGACCCGACCCCCCCCACCACCCCCCCGCCCCACCCACCCTCCCGCCCCTGCCGACTGTAGCGGGAACAGTAGTACAAGGAGGAAATAAAAGTAGTGTGGTTGTGGTGGTAGCAGGACAACTAGTGCTCGTGATACTCCTCAAGCTACTGCTGCTACTGCTACAGAAACAAAAAGCACACTGACAAAAACGATGACGACAACACGACTTAGGGAACAAGAACAACAAGAACTGGAACTACTACTGGAACTACTACTGGTGCTTCCACTGCTACTACTACTACTACTACGACACGACGACTACTACTGCTACTACTACTACTACTACTACTACTACTACTACTACTACTACTACTACTACTACTCGTGCTATTCTTTTACTTGTAGCAGCCGTATTTTAGGACTAATAAAAAGAATAATACTATACTACTAGTACTACTACTAGTACTAGTACTAGCCATGAAACACTGCTACTGGCAGCGGGTCTGGGTGCCTGGTCGAACCAACTGAGAACGGACGGTGTGTCCCACGTTCGAAGCTGACGTAATCAAGCAGCTGTCACTTGTCACCGTGCAAACCTCCCCTGCAAGCGCACCGGCGACGCGCCCCTCTGTTTGCAGGCCGCATCCTCGGCGGAAGGCACCGCATATATCCCACAGAATCGAGGATCGAATTGGAGAGCTCGCGGCTTCCAGCAGGGGACCGCGCGATAGAGAAGAGCACAGGCACGAAGCCCAGCGTTGAATCATACATTCTTGGCTTTATGGTCGCGACGCACATCCCTCCGGGTGTGCTCGCGGCGCACCGCTTCAAGGAAGTCCTTCGCAGGCCAGTCTGCGAGTTGACGCATCTCAAAGGTTGGAAACGAGAGCTGGCCGCTGCGACGGACCAGCAAGCACGAGGTGCTCATGTCCGTGGACAAAGTGGGGCCTGAGGGTTTCCCACTTGCATCTGCCGGAGCACTCGCGGCAAGCCCGGGCGCGCGCCTGCGCTTGGCCACACGGACAGGCTCGGAGCGCTCCGGGCGGTCCGCAGACTCGGAGTCTTTCGGAGGATCCCGCTCCACGGCGACCAGCACGCCCGCCTCACGTACAAGAACGGCAGACTGCCCGAGACGCATGAGTTTCACATGTGCAGTCCGGCCTGACGGAAACACTCGAGCGCTTGTAAGAGGAGTGTCTTGTCCTCCCCACGGCCAAACTGAACCTGGATGGCTGCAAAGAGCAGGTTTGCCCCCGCCGATTGCAACGGTGTGATGCTACCGCTGGGCGCCAGGGATGATGCCGCCGACAAACCTCCCTTGCACCTGCGACGGGATTGGAAACGTGCGAGCAACACGAGGGCATGGAAAGAGCGGGGCATGGATAGTCAGGGTGCATGGGCTGCATGGGGAATGCTCGTTATATCGGTGTGCATCGACAGCCCTGCCTTGCGCAGATGTTGATTTTCTTGGCATCTGCCTCGCCAGCGTTGACCACGTATCGCTCAGCCGTCAATAGGGAGAAGTAGATGTTCACCGCGCCCCGCACATCCACCTTCTGCACGACTAAGTCCCATTCCCGAACATGCTCCGCCTTGCCCTGCTTGCGGGCCAGAGCACAAGCGACCTCTCACAGTGTCAGGAGAGGCATGACACGGGAATCTCGAGACCGGCGCTGCTGCGAGCCCGGCCTCGCTGACGGCGGCAAGGCGGTCGATCATTAAGCGGTGGCTGAGGCGCTCCACAATGTCGCGGAACTTGAGCAAAAAAGGGAGCATCTTATCTCCGCAGCGCGCATGGTTCCGCAGGGCTTCCTTCATGAAGCGCCAGACCAGCTGGACCTTATATCGGCAAGAAGCACGACTGGGCTGGGCATCGTGAACGGCAGGTTATGGAAAAGGCGGAGATACGCCGCTTCTGGCCAGCCGAGGCACATGTGCGTAAGCCTCCGCATCCGGTTCGCTACACATCAAAGGAACATCACTCTCCTGCAGCTCCTCATCTCGCTGCCACAGGGAGTCTAGCAGGAATTGGTACTTGCGGCTTTGGAAAGTGGATGCATAATCATAGGCCTGAGCATGGCAAGAGCACACAGCGCCTGTCACGAAAAAATTTAGATGTGTCGACAGATGCCTGCGACGGTACAATGTTTCTGGGCTGTCCGCCCGCGTGCCTTGCCAACGTCGGGCACGTCGGGAAAGACCACGCACTGAGGCACCAATGCCTTCCTGATGCGAAAAGTTGCAGCCGAATGGTCCTCGAACATGTACTGTTGCAGCCGGTCGCGCTGCAAAGTAGTAGCCAAGCATAGCGTGGTCGAACCTCCTGTGTTACATAATCAGCCGGACACGGCAACATGCGCAGGGTGCAAAGCGGAGGCTCTTGGTAGGAAAAGCAGCCCATAACGAGTCAAGACGGAGACATGCAAGCCCGGCCTATCCGTAGTGACCCCGAGCATGCCGCCACCGGCAGGTGTCAAGAAGTTGATGATCTTCTGTCAGGTAACAGAGGATTTGCAGAAACCTGACCCCCTGCTTGCTGGAAAGGCCCGGAGAGCACTCATGAGGCAGTGGACTGCATTGTCAGCATCTGCGAAGCTGAGGTGCCCTTCGGCGCCTGACCCTTCAGCGGCACAACTGCCAATCCCCACTCGTCCGGGCAATAAATAATTTTCCCGTGGCCTTTGGCATCTATGGCCAGCGCGCTGAAATTCCCAATCTCGCGACGAAAGGGAGCTTGGTTCTTCACGTAGAGCGCCTTGGGTGCGCCCTGGCTCTTGGCCGCCTGAACGAAGAAATCCAATAAGTGCATCTGCTGCTGCTGCCTCGTTCTCCTGCTGCTGCCACTGCCGCGGCTGCTGCCTCGTTCTCCTGCTGCTGCTACTGCTGCTGCTGCTGCTGCCTCGGCCTCCTGCTGCTGTTACTCTTGTACTACTGCGCTTGGTAAAGCTATGGCTTTTTCATGCTTCTTCGCATTTGTACTAACATCGTTTCAGTGCCCATTTAACACGATTGTTTTAGTCGTAATACGAGGCTTGAGGCAAACAGAATTACAGTGGCTCGCTGCAGGGTGGATTACTGTTTCCATACACATCCGGCCCAAAATTACTGTGGTCCCCCATAGCATCGTTTCCTTCATTTTCGCGCGTGCGCAAAATGCGAGCGAAAAATATCCGTGCTCGCACATAGATCGTTGGAGTTTGGCGCCCATGTCGCTGTTCTGATTTAATATCGTTCTGCTAGGGAAACAACCATCGGACGGAGTTTGGCTCGGGCTCTATTCGTGTGGATTCCGGTCAACCACACGAGTGCCTGGCTTTTAATACCGTTTTCCATGTCGCTGTGCGTCGCCAGGAGCACACAAACTGTCGTTTTGTAGTAGAGAAGAAGCATGGTTGGGAAAAACAGCGGTTGGGGTTTTTGGGCGATCACATCTGCGAGGACGTGAGATTCGGAAGTGATTTTTCAAAAAATCGCAATCTTGTTTTGTGGATTTGGCCTGGGCAGCGTGCGAAGCAAATCGGCTACAGGACAGATTTAACCTACCAAAAGCTTGCAAAATCTCACATTTAAATAATTTTAAATATCGGGTGGCGACAATCGTGTATGCCAAAACGTCGGAGTTGAGACGGCACTTCAAAGGAAGCTACGAAAAATGGTGAGAGTTTTGTCCTGCCCGAAGGCAGGAATAAACAGAAAAGGACACTGCGTTGTTGCTGATTTTTGCCAATGTAGTTTGGAAACCCGGCGCCTCACCAAAGTGTCGACAGGACAGCGCGCAAAGCGCAGAAAGCGCAACAAAGCGCAAAAAGCACAGAAAGCGCAGAAAGTGCAAAAAGCGCGGACTTGAATCATCAGGATACTACTGCTACTACCACTACGACTATGACTACCGCTTCTACGAGCACCACTACAACCGATAGGAGGGGGGGTGGGTGGGTGGGGGTGGGTGGTGAGTTGGGGACCCAACACTGAGCGTTGAGGGGGGGGGTGGGTGGTGAACCCCCCCCTCCCGTCTTGATGCACAAGGGGGGGGTGGTGACCCTCCCCGCCCGAGTTTGCAGAAGACCGCGCCGTGCCAAACTATCGACGACCCCGTGTTGCAGGGTTCAGTCAGGGAGAACAGCTGAAGTTTAAAGCTGCTGCCTAAAAGTTTGGGGTGTTAAGTTCAGGGTCAAGGGTCTGGGCCAGGGTTCCGGAATCGGGTTTCGAGGGTGTTGGGCGTCTACGGGGTTAGCAGGGCTTGGGGCTTTTGGGTGTTGTAGGGCACGGAACCCTACGACAGTACGACGTAATGCCAAACCCTTGCACCTTGTAGGCGTTCGGATTTAGGAGGTGGTCACCATGACAGGCTGCAGCTTCGATCGACTTTTCAATTCTGCCGTCGTGTCTGCGTGTTCGTCTTTAGGCTTTCAGCGACTAACCTTTTTTACCCCAGGCTCTCTAAACCTCAAACCCAGAAATCCGGCTCACTGCCTGTCGCTTCCGTCTGAAATCAAGCCCGGTTTGGAGTTCGGGGTCATTCGGGGTCCAAGATCCTAGCTGAAGCAAGGGCTCTTTTCCCACGAGCATTTTTTAAGAGGAAGCCCCAATCTAAATTCACCATACACTCAGCAAAACACGAACGGCTCCGAACATGAACCCAATCTGGGCCACTCTTGGAAAAGCGACCTGTGCTCTCGCTGGGTACACGTCCCAACTGTGGCACAGGGCCCTTTCCCTCTTCGGTTTTGCAAGGCCCCCTGCTTTGGCAGGGCTAAATGGAACGAAATTTTGGCTTCTACGTGGGCGCATCATCTCAACCTACATGTCACCCCGAACTGCATCCGGTACTCCCAGAGCGACCAAACTCCAAACACGGCCTCCTCCCAGCATTTTCGGAGCTGCGCCGCCTCTCCGGCTTGTCTTAGCTTGGGATGGTGCCTATGACTAGTGCATTGTTGGGATAGGGTAAAAAATGTACATGTTTAGTCCTTATTGGGTTCAAGTAACCATAATAATGTAAAACGTTACCCAACTATGACAAAGATGAAGACTCCGCGATCGCAGTGGAGTTGCTTGCTGGAGCACTGTCAACAGAAAACGGCAGGGGCTGTCGGGTGTAGACACTCTAGACCATTGATTCTGAATCCTTTGCTTTGGTGCTCTGATGTGTGTGTATATATATATATGTATATATATATATAGAGAGAGAGAGATGTGTACGTATAAACTGATAGGTAAATGCTACGATTGATGAAAGACTCCGTAACCTTCTTCTGAACACAAGATTGGCCCGCCTCAAGACAATTTCGGAACACCCCTGCTAGCAGGAAATCTACACAGCCAACATGACATGAAGTAGCGCAGACCGGTAAACTACGCCCCAGACCCCTCCAATGAAACCCCGAATGTGCTAAACCATGGATTCCTCTAAGCAACGAAACCTTGACACAACGAAACCCTACATCATACCTTCCCGTCTGCCCACGTCCCCCAGCAACGACCGGCCTGCTGCGACGGGCTGGTTTCCGGTGACCTCGAGGCAGCTTCGAGCGACTTAGGAGCTTAGGGTGGTGGCCCGAGTTGTTAAGGCTCCAAACGAGTCAAAGCTTGCAGTATCTCCCTGGAGAGATGCCATCAGTGCACAGTGTACAGCACAGTATATCTCGTAATCTACTATGTTGTCGTAGAAGATGGTGATATAGTATAGTACAGTAGTAGATGGTGTAGTACAGTTCGGTATGGTCGAATATGGTCTCATTTTGCTTTTGGATTCGAAGTATCCCATTCTGGTTCCTTGTATGGCAAACCCAAGCCCGCAACGCTGGAACCCTGAGACCTTTATCCCAAATCCCGGACCCTGTAACCTTGGATTCTTCAAATTTTCGCATACAATAACAGACAAAGCTAGTGTGAAATAATGAGGGGAAACCACATCATATAAACCGGTCCACTGCACCATTTCAGCTGTGTGTGTGTGTGTCTGCCAATTCATACTGAACCCCGAAGTCCTGAAACCCAGGCCTTGCTTACATCTAGGTTTACCACGACAAGCGGACTTCCCAAACCCGAAACGTCAAATTCTGGAAACCTAAAGCCCAAATACGAGCAATATACCGACAACGCGAGCAAAAGATGCATGTAAATCCACTGAACCAAACCCTAAGCTATATCCAAAACCCATCTAAACCCGTTTCTGCCAACCCTCAACCCCAAACCGTCACGAAAACAAGCCCCTTCTGCTGCTACTCCGGCCGGAAGTTGGACACTGGAAAGCAAAACCCTACACCCCAAACCCCTAAAGCCAAAAGGTACAGAACACGAAACCCTAAACCCTAAACCCCAGATCGTCAAGTATAAAAACACGAGCCTTAGCTCTTAACCCAAAACCGTCAAGAAAACAAGATCCCAAACCCTAAACCCCAAATTGTCAAGAAAACAAGATCCTAAGCTCCAAACCCCAAATCGCCAAGAAAACAAAATCCTAATCCCTAAACCCCAAACCGTCAAGAAAACAATATCCTAAACCCTAAACCCCAAAATCGTCAAGAAAACAAGATCCCAAACCCCAAACTTCCTAAACCCCAAACCGTAAAGAAAACGAGATCCTAAACCCTAAATCCTATTATAAACCCTACACCCCAAACCGTAAAGGGAGGGAAGCCGTGGCTGGGGCCGCGGCTTCGGCTCCGGGCTTTCCGCCGGCGGCTCGGGCTGCGTGCCGGAGAGTTCGGAGCCTTCCGGGTATCAGCTTTCTGTGGTCATAGCTAGTACATACGAACATGCGTACACACACACATATATATGTATATATATATATATGGTACCCCCCTTGTATATATATATATATATATGTACATATATACATATACATTGTATACAGATAGATGGATTAGATAGATAGATAGATAGATAGATAAATAGATAAATAGATAACAACAAAAACATGTGTCTGTATGTCTGTCTATGTCTCTGTCTCCGTGTCTGTCTCTCTGTGTCTGAAGCTTGACATGTGGTGACAATGTCTACTTCACATATAACATACTGCATATACCCGATCTATCATCTGCCTGTCTATCTATATACATGTGATGTACGTCATATGGGTGTCTTGGCATTTGAGGTTTAGCTCTCAGGGTTATATTGATGGCAGTGTTTGCGGGTAAGGAGAGGGGCGGGAGGGGCAAGGGTTGATGTCTGAGCTTCCGAGCCTTGGTTACTTACGGTTTGGTGCTCTGCACCATGCGATACTACCTTATACTATACCTGGACTTTGTTACCTAGGGTTTGATGCTCTTTTCTGGAGGGAAACGAGGAGAACCTCAGAAGGGCGGGGGGGGGGGGCGTGCCTACAGAACTCTAGGGCCCTAAACCCTAAACACTTATTACCTGAAGCCCGAAACAGAAAATACAAACCCAAACCCGGCTCAGTACCCGATACCTTCGAACAACAAGATGCCAAATCCTAAAAACAAAAACAACAGCTGACACCATGAAGCCCTGGAACAAAGCTTTTGGCTTCAACTTATACGGGCCTTACGAGGGTAAACCGCCAAAGCCGTTAAGGTTACAAACAGTAGTTCTTTCATATGGCCGTCTTGTAAGCCCGCTACCGTCCAAAACTCACTGAAGCCCTTGACAGAAATAAAGGCAGCGACAACACTGGCTGCCAGCCTCGTAAGACAACGACCAAGAATTGCAAAACGAATAACAACTTGCCAACAAAACGCTTGAAGAACCCAGCCAAAGCCCGGTAAACGAACACAAATGCAAACCCCAGCTTGAATTAAAACAACATAACCTACTCACATGCAAACGACCTAACCGTATTACATCTTCTGAATTCTGTGGTTCAAAACCACGAAAAAAATCAACGGGGCCTTGGGGCTGCGCTGCTTGGACCTCCTCGGCCGGGGGCTCCGCCGCCGACTGCGCGACCGCGCGGGGGGACCTCGGAAAAGTTGGGAGTCTCAGCTTTTTGCCTCTTTGGTCCAAAAAGCAACGAGGGTAACGAGGGTTTAGGGTTTAGGGCATAAGGGCTTCTGCCTGGGTCGGTTAGATTCCGTTAATTAGGCAGGGTGATTGCTAGGGTTTAGGGTTTAGGCCCAGTTTAGGCGTAGGGTTTCAAGCTGCTTGCTTGGCCGCCTGGTTGTTCGGGTGGTATTTCTAAGGGAATGTCTTTTCTGGCGGACGCAGAAGTCTATGTCCGCACCGTGGAAATCAAGGTGAAATCACCCACAGCCCAACCCTCAACTGCCTTCGCTTCCAGACTGCATACCTTCTCCGCTGACCCCCCATCCTTTTTTATTATTATTACTATTATTATCCTCCTTATTACTATTACTATTACTATTACCATTACCAAAGCTCCCGTTCAGGTTTAGGTCTCAGGATGCCTCAGGGCATCCCACTGTCACGAAGCACGACATAAGCTTCAAGGAGTGTTCACTCATCCCACGTGGCAGCTTCTAACTAAAACCAAAACCCTTTTGCACAGACTTGTATATGCTCTACATCGAGATCTGGCTGCAGCGCGCGAACAGACCTTGACCGTTTAGGGGAAAAACTGTTGAGACCCTGGCTTCAAGATTTCATGCCCACGGTGCCGATTGCTTTTCGTGGGTGCACATGCCGAACGCCCTGAAGTCAACCCTCCCAACCCGCAGTCCTAAACCCTGCAGAAGTGCCGGAACCCAGAAGGCGTAGGCTTCTCAGGTGCGAGGAGATTGCACTCAGAGCCTGGAGCTCAAATTACTTGGTGTATGGGGCTTTTATTGCTATTGTTAATGTTTTTGTATTATTCTGCTTGAGGGTCTTTATCCGCCACACTTAAGCGCCGAAGAATCGCTGAGGCTCGAAACCCCTTTGGTTCTCAGTGGGCGGCTAGCGCGCCGGCTGCGGGAACGGCTCTTCGCTCCTTGGCTGGGTCTTTCGCATTGCTAGGGCGGAAGAGTTGGGGGTTTCCGAAAACAGGGGACCCTACTATAGTACCCTAAATAGTAGGGTCCCTATTATAAGGACCCCATAATCAGGTGCCCCTAATTTTTGGAAACTCCCAGTTGAGTTCCTAAAACCTGTAAAGCTTGGGCACGGCCCCCATACAGTAACAGTCTATGATAGGGCTACTATTAAGGGCCTTTTATATATATAAAAATAAATAAATATATATATATATATATATATATATATATATATCTTTATTATGGATATTATCCAACTGTTACTGAGTGGGGGCCGTACCCCATGTAAAGCTACAGTTAAGTTTCCCATTGTCGTCCCCCAGAAGATGGCCTCTGGTAAGCTAAGGCAGGGCTTGGCCTCAGGATTTTTGGGGTTTGAGTAACATTTTGAGGGTCGGTCAACAGATACTGAGTCTTTCACCGCTGGTTGGTATCTTCCCGAAAATGAAAGGTACCATATACTGGGGTCATTAAAATCAGGATCCTACTAAGTCCTACTATTTGGCATACTCTATTTTTTAACGGAAAGCTGATGAGATCGCCGCCTCCTCAAAACCTTCCATTCCCTTCTATGAGACCTTTGGCCCTCTGCACACAGAGGCCTGCGGCCCTGTCTTGTCTGAGGTACAGACGTCGCCGTGGCGGCGTACTTTGCCTTGACTCTTTGCTTCAGAGTTCAGCTTCTTCGTTTTTGAGGGTTGTTAAGGAATTTGATGTAAGGTGCCATGTTAGGGATCTATTGTATATAGTAAATCCTATGGTTTCCTACTATGGTACCTTAAATTAAATTCCTTAGCAAGAACCAAGTTTTTTTTTGTTGCCTCCCAGTTTTGTGAGTTTCTGTTCTCTGCTACAGGGTCAAAGCCTCAGAATGAGGGTTTCCGGCTTCGGAGTGTGGGTGTTACATGCCTCGAAGACCGGGGTCGTCTAACTACCTCCTGCTATGTGTGCAGTGTAAAGACACCCACATGATTAAGTGATGTCGGGCTCACTCGTGGGAACTGAAGGGTCCGCAGTGGTCGACCGACACAGGCACACGTGCAAGCATTTCCCGCCGATGCCGCCAGATCAAAGTCTTCAGAGATGTCAGCACGTTCGAACTAGACCTGAAAACGGTCTCAAAATGAACTCTCCGATTTGGTTGAATATCATGTAACCAGGTCAAAGGGTTTGCTAACAAGTTTTGAGCTCCGGGAAACCCGAAATAAACCCTTCTTCTAGATCCTGAACTCTAAACTCTCCACAAACATGCCTCTTCGCTGGCGAACGAGATCTTCTCCGTGGAGGACCTGAAATGAGACAGAGATCCTAAGTCGGGTCTGGGGCTTTTAGGTGTTGGCGTTTCGCCTCGGCCCATGCCTTTCGGGCTCAGTGATGTTAGGTGTTCTTGGCATCAGTTTTGGACGTCCTGAGTCATATCCTGTTCTGCCCGGCGGATTTGTTTTGGCTTGCTCTGTCCTTTCTGCTCATGGTCAACCTTACAGATGCGGATTGTTGTGGGGGTAGCAGTAGTGTAGCACGAAAGAAAAATCTTCAAAATAAAAGGCTGTTGGCATTGTTAGTTATCTTGCAGAGAAATGTTCGGGGGGGGGTCCCCCCCACTAAGCCAGTGCAACATTAAGTATGCTTCCATCTTGCATGGGGTTACTCTCATAATACAGAGAGTTACAAACAACCTGAGCTTCAGACTGACGCAACTTAGTGGCTTTGGCGAGCGGCCAGTGTCCAATCCACACAACATTCGATCGCGTGCACACCAGCAATGCAAGTTCGAGTGGGCTTTTCGGGCTGCATTTGTCGTTCCCAAAGGCAAGCAAAAAGGACTGACTGATGACAAAGTCGTCCTTGGCGTTGCTAAGCCGTGAACAGCACACAAGGATGCGATTTCTGGGATTCGACACAGACCCGGTGAGGCTGCCCGACTTCGCGGAGCTCTAGCCCATCGCACCCCTGAAACCACACAACCCCAACATCCCCAAATAGGACCCAAATCGCGGAATAACTGCAACTAACATCAACTCACCCAAACCTCAAACCCCCGAAACCAAAATCCTGAGCTTCTTCTAACATTAACTCTAAACCCTACCCCACCCCATTAAAGAAAAAGCCTAAATCCCAGAGAGCCCAAACCCCTCAGAAGCCAAGCCTAAAGACCCCCTTCGAGGCTCTAACTCCGCTTCGACCGCGGCGGCGTCGATGAGCGCCGGCGCTCTGATCGCTTCTCCTGTGTCAGTGGGTATATAGGTTTAGGGCTTAGGGTTTAGGGTATAGAGACAGACTGGGGGATAAGCCCATCAGGGATAAAACTTTTTCTCGATGTGTCTAGCGATCGAACTTTTGAGGCTGGATGGCCGGGACTTAGGTTAGGGACTCTGGCGGCAGGGGAGCGAGGTGTCGGGTTTGGGTTTTTGCAGCTTTACAGAGTTTCGGCAGCTTCTCGGGCTTTTGGTCTAAGGTTTCACTTGTGAAACGTTTCTGGCAGTGACGTAACCCTGAAGATTATCTAAGATGTCACAAACACAACAGTTTTCGTGGTATTACTGAAACTCCAGCATAGGGTTTCAGGAATGACTTTCCGGATTTCAGACCGTTACAACGCGGAGCCCCAAGTAGTCCTTGAAAACCTCGAGACGGCTACAGCACCAAGATCTTGTCACATATATTGGGCCCAAGAAGCAAAGCAAGCCGAAAGCCCGAAATCCGTAGTCCCCAAACCCCTAATGCCTCCATGGCGCGGAGTACATGCTTTTTCCCACAGGCCCTGTGATGTTATCAATGGTTTCGTTCTTTATTCCACTGAAATCATAAAGCCAAAGGCCCTCCACAATGAGCTTCAAGCAAGTCCTCTGAGTTCAAGACTTTTCAATAACAGAACTGAAGACTGAACCTCCACTCCTGAAGCCCTGAAACCTTCAACATCAAGGCCAACAGACTCGGATGAAGCCGTCTCCTTCACACGCTCCTCCTTGCTCTCTTTCTTCTTGTCCTTGTCCTTTACAAGGGTCTCGGCTCAGGTAGATTTAGCACAGCACAGGTATACATATACATACATATACACATACACAGAAACATATACATACACATATATACAGTATATACATACATACATACATACATTGTATATTGAACCTGCAGTAAGGACTTGGTTTGATTGGTTGGCCAAATCATCTTCTCTCAAGCTTCCGAAGTCCGAAGGGATTTCCAGCTCGATGCGTTCAGACGATGTTTTCCTAAATTTCCGTATTCGGGGCTCGGGCTTTGGATTCGAAGTTTTCCAGGATGTTGGTTCGGTCGTTTCTAAGGCTTGAGACTTGCTGCTTCCAGTTGCTATCGCAAGGTTGGCCCAGGGCCAAGGCAGAGTTTGCATGAGTTTGCAGTGTTCTGTACAGGTTGGGAACTGCGTCTGCAAGCCAGAGCTGGCTGGCTGTCGGAGCCTCGAGCTATCCAGAAGGAATTGGAGACATCTTCAGGAAGAACAGGACGGACTAACTTGAGGACACTTGGGCAATCACTGAGACCGGGCATGCTATTATAAGCAACTCTGCTGACTCTGTCGGCACATCAAAATACACATGTACAACTATATGTATATATACACATACACTCATATCTGTTTATATATATATATAGATAGATATGTATATAAATAAAGACACATCCTCCAGGCGAATGTATACTAGATAGATACATAAATGTAAATACAAAAATACATATATATATATATATACATGGTAATACTGATACGTCGGTCTCTTGGTATTCTATAACTATATACTTACACACCTTTGTTATAAAAATTTCCGCTCGCCTTTTATGTCTATATATTAGGGCAAATCATACATGCATGCATGCAAACATCCTCCTATGATCGCTGATGTCTCACGAAAAAATTCGACCTCCCCGGCCCGAGGTGACAGAATGCATCGGTACCCGGTAATGGAACACGGCAAGGTCTAAGAGCGGCTTCAACGCTCAGATGTTTTGGGTTTCGACTCACACACTCGCACAAGGCAGGCATAGGATTCTCCTCTGTGATTAGGTTTGAGATGTGTAGCAGTGCAGCGAAGCGTTTAAGCTATCACCGGGGGAGCAGAACTTCAGCAGCTAAGTGAGCAGAAAGCGATTATGGTCGTGAGGGTACTGGTAGTGGCAATGGTCCGCAGAAGAAGCGGAGCAAACTTCCTAAGCAGGTCCTGGAACTTCAAATCCTGAGAATCAACCCTTCAGCCGTCTTCGGATTTAAGACTCGTCCTTGCCACGTTCTTCCTTCTTATCCCTCTCCTGGCGCGCAAGTCGTGCTGACTAAAACTCGTATGGCGATCTAGACAGACAGCTGAACTTATAGTACAGTCAGTATAAGCATAAAACAACAATAGTCCAGTTATAAGAGCAAGAAGAATGAAACCTGAAATCAACAACAACGATAATCCACAGCAGCATCCTTGCGGACACCGTATTTTCCTCTTAGCACCTATGTTCCGAACAGGCTTGCGGTCTCCGAACTTCTGGGAGCTACAGTCCAGTCCACGGCATTTCCAGGCAAATGAGGGCTCGGGCTGGGTAGGGTTTGGGGCGTTCCTCGAAGGGCTTCTACAAGGATTCCCCAAAACGGGTTCCTTTCAGGATTGATGAGGGGCTTCGGGTGCAGGCTTGGTCGGTTCTGATTGAGAGATTTAGTTTAGATTCGATCTTGGGGTTCGTTGTTCAATGGCCTGGCATCGTCAACATCACCTACATCATCATCATCATCCTCATCATCATCATATGTGGAGAACGTGAAGTCAACGTGATCCTGTCGAAGGTCGCAATGATTGAGAATGACAGCTGCTTTCTTCCGACGTGCGGAATTCCACGGCAACACCAGGCCGCGCAAAACAAGCCGTGAACTGTAAGTTGAGGTTTTCGAGCAGGGACTGCAATGAGGTGCCTTTTGCATCGGGCTCGCTTCGCCGCCCTGCGGCTCCCTCTGCTAAGAACGTGTGCCCAAGCAGAGCCGAACTCTCGAAACTGCTGAGGTGCCTAAACTCTGAATCTTAGACAAGTCAGGCCACAAGGCCCCAAGCGTGTTAACACCTTTCCTGCACTGGGGGAGTATGTCCTGCGCATGAGGGCTCAACAACTCGGTCATTGCAGACCGCTAGATTTTTGCATTGGGGGGCTCATGCTTAAAATACATCTTAAAGTCTTAGAACGGATATCTGCTGAGCTGGGATAGCTGTGAAGGCTAAGAATCTGAACGGGACGCTCAGACTTATTTCCAACTTCTGAAAAAACTCTGCGTTTGGGGCAGCTGGTGGCTGCCCCAGCCGATCTCGAACTTAACCCCTTTTTGAACCCAGGCTCTGTGAACTTAACCCCTACGGTTCAGGCCCTGCCTTCGTGCGCTCTTTCACTTTCTCCTGGTGCGCTAGTGAGCTGTTCGTAGTCGCCAAGAAAGCAGGAAGCTGGGTTCTTGTTAAGGAATTGATTGTAAGTTACTAGTACCATAATAGGGGTCTATAGCAAATAAAATGCTTTCCGTATTATGGTAACTTAAACTAAATCCCTTAACAAGAGCCCAGGGCAGTCATTTCAACCGATGATCTTCCTGCAGCCTGCCATCCTCCTAACTACACGAAACCATGAGCCGCACAGAAGATGCCTTTGCCGGTTCTGGCTTCTTCAGCTTCTCCTCCACAGGGTCAGACGTCGTACCACCCTTTGACCTCAAATCCTAAACAGCCGACGACTGCAGCCACCACCACCACCACCACCACCGCCTGGAGAACCTCCTCTCACCTACCTGCACCACCAGCCCACCCACCGCAACAGTAAATGCCCTTGTGATCAATACTGTTTTCCAGTTTCTTGTTGCTTGCCAGCGTCTGACTATGACATACTATGACTATGAGAGGTCTTGCTTTAACCAGCTTTATACTGATAGCAACTAGACAACATGTGCTAACTTTAATCTTTCCCGCTACCGCTCCAACTTATACAAATCCCGACATCCCTGTGGGCCAGCATGATGTTAGCACCCCCAGGTAAGACAACGACCACACCAACCCCAAAACCGCGCCTGAGCCTTCCGCTTCCACTCTACCTGGCCCGCAGAATAGTTTGGGAAGTTCCAGGTCGTTTTAAATCGGGTTAAGGCTGCATCGCTTCTTTTGGACTCTCGCATTCGCACAAGGCAAGGTTTAGGGTCAGTGTATGGGTACTGTTCCGCAAGGCTAGGTCCAGTCCAGCAGGTGACATCAAAGCAGTTTTTTTTCAGGGCTCGGGGCTTGGGGTTTGACAGGCGTCGCATCATCGCGACCCACTCCCACAGATCCTTAAGTAACCCTTTTGCTTTTCTGCCGGCAGCCTTCACACGCTCGCGCAGCACCAAAGAGGAGCGCTCCTGACAATTATTCAGATGGCTTCTTGCCTCCTATTTCGCAAGGACGAGCCCGCATGGCAGGGTTTAGCGTGCTGGGTGTCGGCTTCTGTCTTTGAAAACTTTCAGGTTTAGGGTAGCAATGATGCCATACGTTGCAAGAGCACTAAGAGTAAACTCTGTGTTCTGCGATAAAGATTCAGGAAGGCTCTGATACACCTTCCGGATAACGAATGAGGTGAAGCCCTGGAGGACAATAGTACCTTGCTGTCATAGTAATTAGCCCACACCCCGAACTCTTAGGCCGGACTGGAGGAAGCCATTCTCCAGTCTTCCTCTTCTGCTTCGGCGACTTCGGCGACTTCCTCCTCACTGACCTTCTTCTTCACCTCGGGGACGCGCGCTGAACGTTCACTCTGTAAGTTCCTTAAGCTTTCGAGAAACGAAGGCTCAGGGCTCAGTAAATGGACCACGAGTAAACCTGAAAACCCAGGGCCCAGGACACTAACGCACCCCAGGGCCTAGGGCCCAGACCCTGAACCGAAAACTCTGAAACCACAAAGCCCTAAACCTGAAAATGACAAATTGAAAGTCTAAAGCCCTGGACCCGAAACCCTGGTTTGAAAAAGCCCAACGAAACTGCTAAGATCTCAGGACTACTAAGGAACCTTGTTAAACCCTCATGCACTGCCTTCTCCGTCTTCGCCTCTTTCTTCTTTGCACGCGCCTGAGGACCATGTACGGTGTTTTGCCACTTAAAGGTTTTCCTGCCTCCTATGCAAGGACGAACCCGCATAGCAGGAAGTCTCAGAGGGGAAACTGGATCGAACATTCAAGGGTGTAGGGTTTGACGTTTAGGGGTCGAAGAACACATCCTGCAAGGGCCGAACAAACCGCAGGCTGGACAAGGATTCGATTCTGCGATCGCCAAATTCGCGGTAAGAGGCGTGGAACATGCCCCGACACCCTCCCCTTGCGAGCCTTACCTAAACGCCCGGACCCCCTCAAAGCCCCAAATTTAGCCCCAAACCCCAGAACAAAACAGCCCCTACCCGAAGTCGGTCTTTCGCCTTTGGCTTCTCGGCTTTTGCTTTCCTCTTGTTCGCCTCGTGCCGCGGACTTATGGACGCAGCTCCAAAGCTCCGGCAGTTTAGGGCTTGTGCTCGCGACGTCATACTCTCGCATTGGCAGCGTAGCCTATAGATCATAGCTGCGCATGAGGTTCGGTGATTAGATCACGAGATACTGCGAGATGCAACAGCATGAACGCCTTGGGCAGCGTGTTTTAGGGCTATCGTTGAGGATTTGGCGCTCACAACGCGCACAGTCCGCCCATGCAAGGCAGATGTCTTTCGCCTCTAAGGTTCGCTACTTACAGTTCAAGGTTGCGTCTTCAGCACCGCCGACAGCCCTTGATGCTGAATGCAAACAGATGGCACCGCAGCTTCGAACACCCAACCCCGAAGCCTCATTTCCCCCTCAGATGCGCGATGCCGGGGTTTACAAGCTGTGCCGAAGCATCGAAGGACTCTTGTGCGAATTTGTGGGCTCTTCTCGGCATGGTTTCTCGGCATGTCTGGCCAACAGGAAGTGCAAGTAAGGGTGGCAGCAGCAAAGTTGATAATGATGATCTAATGCAATCTCAAAAACAATATTCACGGCAACTAGGGTACCTAGAATCATGCCAAACATGGCCATGGCGGCGGTAGGCATCATACGAAGGTCGTACTGATGAAACAACTCTTTTATGGCCATCACTGTGCCAAATTCAAACATAAGTGCTCGCATCTATGTTCTTCCTGAAAGATCAGTCAGACCCACCCTAAACCCCAGTCAAACCCTCGCATCCTGCTTTAGTTCGACCATTCGAGTACGATGCCTTCGAAGCTTTCCCGCCCTTTTCGGCTTTGTCGGGCTCGCCTGGCAGTACGATTCCCAGAGACTCGCCACGATCCCGTGAAAACTTTGGGCCCCCGGGACTGCTCGATGCCAGATAGGTTTCAACCCCGGAAGAGAATATGGGGGCCTTAATGGTTAGAATAGGGTTCGGGGCCCTTTATACTATGATTAGAATAAGAACCCCCCCCCAAAAAAAAAATAGTATAGGTATTTATTGAGGTCCTTTTATTAAGCCCAGAAATGCCGTGGAGCATGGCCAGCTGCATTCATACGGTTCATACCCAATGACTCACATGACTAAAGCCTAGGTCCAAACCATCGTTAAACCTTCAGCTGAGAGTTTTTTGGCTCCCGCATGGCGCAAGGGTGTAAAACATGGCACTAATATGGTTGCTCTATATAGGTTGCTCTGGTGCTTTTGCTCTGTGGCTGCATGGCTACTACCCACTTCGCAGAGGTCGGTGTCGGGTGACGGGCTGAGGCTTTCTTCCGCCTGCCTGAAAAGCAGCCGTTAAAGGCTACACAGGCCCTGAACTTCACGCAGGCCCTGAGCCTTTTTCGTACACCTGAAGGGCCTTCAAGCCCAAACCCAAAGATCATTTTTCCTAAGCCTAGACTCCACGACCCCGGAGCCCAACCCTCAGGCAGGAGGCTTACTCATTCAAAAAGAATCCCAGCCGCCTTCCCGACTCTTCTTCTTTTTCTTCTTGGGCTTCGTCTCCTGGAATTTCAAGAAGAGATTTAGGTTCTGGGATTTGAACTGTCAGGTCTTCCGGGGCTGGGTTTGGAGTCTAGTTTGGGCCAAGCTTGGGGCTTCAGGTTGAGGGTGTGAGGCTCTCTGTGACTTTATGAAACTTGCTTTGCCAGAGCTTTCTGTACAGGGGTCGGGGGCATCGTGGCGAACCTTCACTACGCCTCTACAGGGTTGGAGAGCTTCAGGCTTTAGGGTTTGCGCGAGATTCAATGCTTTAGGTTTGAGGCTTCGGAGTGCATGCGACGTGTGGGTTGAGCTTGTAAATGTGCCTTCAAATCAGGATCACGAAGCCGGTATCCAAACAACTTGCGGCATCAGGTGCAGGCATGCTACCGCTGTTCTACCAGGGCACCGAATATCACGATGCGACCAGAGCACTGAGCATCTCGGTGAAGCACACGCAGCACCGCTTGTCATGCTAACAATCACAAGCAGCAGCGGAGCGAAAGCAGTGAACCAGGGGCCCCAACAGCCATTAGCCAGGGTGGCCCCTGTAGCAAGAGCATATACCCTTAGTTACTTGTGGGTAAGTAAGAGAAGATACATCAAAACCTCAGGAAGCCCCTACAAGAGCATACCTACACTTTATGGCTTCAAGGCTGTATCAAAGTTGAAGGTTAGCCCATCCTCTCTCTCACTCCCTCGCTCGAAAAACACTCTGCCCTAAATCTCACACACAATTCCTCTCCCCAAACCCAAAAGCCCTTCCAGAGACATTCTGGGCCTCCTCTCCGGGCTCTCCCGACTGTTCGGCCTCCTCCGTCTGCACGTACTCCTCGTCCTCACGCTGCTTTCGGGGGGGATTGCTGAAGCTTGCTGATGTCCTTGGCTCGCGAATCATAGCCTCGAGTTGGGCTTGAGGGTTCAGAGCTTCAGGCCTCTGGGATGCAAAGCTGCCGGGTTCAACAGCCAAGGGCCGAGACTGCAAGCATCGGGCCCCGAACCTTTCAATTCTGAACCGCTTGCAGCGGTTGGCTCTGAGACATTTTGGCCCCGAATGAAGATCCTCACTGTAGGAGTGACGCGCCCCCCGCTGCGATCTTGCTCAAGTGAAAAGTCGACAGGGGATTCAGAAATTGCCGTGGTCGCCCTGCTCTTCAGCATAGATCTTCGAGGCCCCCATTCCAGTCCTCGTCGAGGAGCCGGTTATCCTCTGTCTCCTCTTCCTCCTAAAATGTAGGGGTGTCTTCAGCATCAAGGACCCGTTTCATTCAGAGGCTCTTGTAGTGAGTGTCCTACGACATGGGGTCTGTATCGGGGGCTCCTTGCTTCAATTCCCAGGTGGCTGGCTGCGTTGAAGGCTAAAGCCGCTTCCGTGCGCTAATGGATCAAACCCCTAAGTCCTAAATCTCAAGAGTACCCTTAAAGAACCTTTAAATGCACCCGACCTCGGTCAGTGCAAGCTGGTCCGTCGGCGGCTCCTGCGTCCAGGCTGTCGGCTTTTTGGCCAGGGAAGGGCAAACGACTCCACGATTCGAATGGAAGTGCCAAATGAAGAAGAGGATTGTCAGCATGCACAGTCTTGGGGCAGCGCATCGGGAGATCAAGAGAGAGAGAGAGAGACAGAGAGGCGCTAAAGCTCACTGCTTCTTGCATGGCAATGTTTCGTGGTATCCCAGCTTCTTCTGCAAGTATCACCGATACGTGAGTATCGAAGGCGCTTGCGAGCCGAAGGTCTGAAGCTACGAGTAGCCGAGCCTGGACCCCGAAATGCTGAGAGCCCTGGGATGGGATTAGTTCATGAGGCTATAAGCATCTTGCTTCTATAGGTTTTCCCACCTGCTCAGCTGACTCTTCGGCTTTAGGGCAAAGGCTTTCTACCTTACTACCCCCTTCACCTCCGAAACGTGCATGTGAAACTCGAAGCCCGAAAGCCCCGAAACGCTAAACTTACACCAGCCAAACAGAACCCAAAGCTCTCAAGCCGCCTGCTCTTCCGGAGCCGCTTCCGCCTCTTTCCGCCTCCTGCACAAGGTTCCGGTTTTAGGTTTCGGGTGTATAAGGTTTCTGCACTCACAACTGGAACAGGTTTTCTGGTACCGCAGACGAGCCATTGGCCCTGCCATAGGGGGACACACACAATTCATGGCCCCCCACTCGAAACTAAGCAGGACTGCTTCTCCTATCACACTCCCACTTGCTTGCCAATGCTTGCCTCTACAGCATGATGCATTTCACGAAGTGGCGCGGCTCTTCCCGAAGATGCACCAACGCGCAGCACTCAAGGGGTTTAGGGCTTATAGATCTTATAGGGGTTCCGGTTTAAGGTCTCCGACTTCGGTTTGCTGATTTTGGGATTGAAATTGCAGGGATCAAGGGCTTCGACGCTTCCAGGATCTTGAATCCATCAGTCCTTTTCTCTTTCTTCACCTTCTTCTTCCTCCGCTCCTTGAGTTCGATTCCAGGACGTCTTTCGTGGTTTCGAGTTGCAGGGCTTAGGGTGCGTATAGTGGTTCACGATGCTTGAAACTACCCATGAGCTTCAGTTTCAGCGTTGCTAGTGACTCAGAGGGGGGAGGGTCGGCAATGAGACGAAACAACGTAAGAACTTAAAGGGAACCCGTGACAAAAGGGCTTCGGTTCAGGCGTAACTGGGCTGCTGTTTAAATGCCCAATAATTTAGGAGTATCTACCTTTGTAAGACCGTGCAACCCTATATCTGCAAGCTTCAATAGTCGGTTTTCGTAGGCAGTGGAAGTGCTGGCACGCCGCAAAGTAAAACCCAAATATCAAATCACCAGTGTGCGTAGAAGCTCTACGACATCACTGCCCGAAGCTCCAATATGTAGAAGCTCTACCACAAACGCCAGGCGCGCAATCGGCGGCACTGAGTCAACGGCATCGGCGACCGCGCCTGCAAGCGAGTGAGCTTCAAACACCCTGCACCCCACGCCTTACGCGCATAGTTATGCATGCACGCATGCATGAAAGGATGGACGATGGATGTATGGAAATTTGCATGGATGCACCGACATACCTAACGTACGTACAAAGGTACCCACTCACACGGCACGCTTGAAATACCTCTCTGCTTCTCTGTCCTTGTCTTGAACGTTTGCTTGCTTTGTCTCTCTCTCGCTCTCTCTCCCTCTCTCTCTCTCTCTCTCTTTCTCTCTCTCTCTCTCTCTCTCTCTCTCTCTCTCTCTCTCTCTCTCTCTCTCTCTCTCTCTCTCTCTCTCTCTCTCTCTCTCTCTCTCTGTGTCTGTCGTAATTAGGGCGTAGGGCTGTCTGTCTGTCTCTCTCTCTCTCTCTCTCTGTGTTTGGCCTGTTCTAGCATGTCTTGTCTCCATCCTGCAAACCCTTCAGACGTGGCTTGGCCTTTCATGCTCCAGTCCCACTACGTCACAGCAGCGGCAGGAGACCCCTGCTCAACGAACCCTCCACCTCGCCTCCGTTCTTCGGCTTCGGTTGGGTGCCGTCCTGCTGCGGACCCGGAAGACGTCATTAAACTTTACACCGAAACCTTTTTTTTTGCCACTGGGCTTGGGGCTAGCCAGATCCTTGCATCGTGGCCGAAACCTTAAAACTTGAGCCCATACCGCCCAAACCCTAAACCTGCAACACCTAAACCCTAAAACTCTTCCAAAAACAGTCGGCGCCACCTGCCAAGTGGTGGTGGCCCAGGGGCAGGAACTGAGAGATCGTCAACGATCTACTTGACAATTCCGAATCAAATGTTAGACGGGGGATGGGGCCATTCCACAATAGAAGCTCGAAGCGGGTGTATGCAATTGGGGAGTTGTTTTATCTCTACTGTCACTTTTGGAGAACTTATTGTTGCTTCTGCTCCTGCTCCGGCTTTCGCTATTGCTCCTACTCTTGGTCTTGCTCCAGCTCTTGCCGTTCCTGCCCTTGCTGCTATTCCTGCTCTTGCTGTTGTAACTGCTCCTGCTCTCGCCGTTGCCCCTTCTCCTGCTCTTGATTATGATAATGCTCATGCTCCTGCTCTGGCTCTTGTTCTTGCTTCCCTTAGCCCCAAAGCCGAAACCACAAGAGCCAGTTTTTTCACCTGGACTTGCTGAATGCCCCCGCCGTGCAAAATGCCCCGAACCGTATCCACTGAGCCCTCATAAACCTTGGATGTCCTTGCTCTCGACAGCCACCTTCGATCGGGCCACGAAGTCGTCCAAGAGCCCATCGCCCTGGTTGCCAACCTCCCAGAGAGCTTCGAACTTCTTCAATCAAGCATGAGCCTAAATTATGACAGAAGAACCTCTATAGCCGGAAAGGGGTCTGGGGATTCATGCCAAAAAGATGGAGCAGAACCACGAATAAAAAACAGGCCGGCCTGGGCCTAGACCTTTTGTTCTTGGAGGGTGTTCTTTCAAGCGTTGGTGGATTCGGAATGGAGAGCTCAGGGCACCACATGTTCACTGCGCCTCCACAGCAACTTTCTCCTCTGCAGGGGCTGGCGTCAGTCGTGCCTGCAGAAGGATGTCTTCGAGCTTGTCTCCAACCTCTTTAACCCCGTAGCGGATTTTCAACTCTCAAAACCCCAACCGCCTGCACCACAAGCGTGCAAAAACAGGAACGCCCGCACTCTGCTCAACCGCCTTCCAAGCAGATGCCGCCGGGGCAGCCGCTTGGCTGCCACGTTTCTTTGCCAGCTCCTTGACATAGGGTTCAAGGGTCTCGGTTTTGAAAGAGATGCAAGCGTAAAGTTCAGGGCTGAAGGTTTGGCTAGGGCTTCGGGCTTAGGGCTGAGAGCTTGTCAGTGAAACCCTTACATCCTTAACATCCCTCAGGCCTTGACCTGGGGTGCCGGTTTAATTCCACTTAGTTCAGGACTCGGTTTCGAACGATTCTGCATCTTCTGACCTTCGCCGGCCCAATGTCGAGCTTGCCGTGTGGGACTGTGTAGTGGGCGTAGTGAGAGGACATGATACAATGACGTCGGAGTGCATCGTGCTAGAGTTTTACAAAAGTGGGAATCAGAAACCCAGATGTAAATGTAAAGCGAAGAATGGACAAAATAAGCAGATGAATGAACAAGCGAAACTAAACGATAATAAGTATTCAAGGGCCCATATCCGAGCTAGGTACAAGGCAGCGTGCGCTGAAATGCGGACTGTGGAACAACATTTTTCTAGAGCTTTGCCTCAGACATGCAATAGCATGGGAATCCTAAGTGTTGAATCTCCCCGACCCAGCCTTAAATATATTATTAAACCTCCTCCAAAGCACATGTGGGTGGTGGTCAATATTTTGGTCCCTTTTTGGGTACCCTAAATAGTAGGTGCCGTACTATAACAAGGACCCCAAAAGGGACTCTAATTTTGACAACCACCCATGTAAGCCTTCAGCCGGAACCCCCACGAAGGCAGTCCTGCGCCAGGGCCCTTAGCCGCTGTCGGTTCGCCGCCTGCGTTGGCTCTGACTCCCCCAAAGAGTTTGGTAGTTTTTGTCCGCGGCTTTTTAAATTTTTGCATCCTCACGAAAATTTTCCAATGACGTAAGCTGCCTAGTTAGATAAAATGTTGCGATGCGTGAGGTTTGGGTTTTGGGTTTAGAATCTCGTTGATACAGATCTCGGATGCAAGCAAGCCAACATGAACCCATTCCCCGAAGCACCGTGGCCTCGAGAACGAAGCGCGAATTGCAACGAATGACTGGATCGGGCACACGAGCTCAACAATTCATCAACGGGGAACATCGCGCTGCGCTTTGCGTCCAGCCGTCCCAGGCCACGCTTTCCGTTTGGGCCGTACTGGTTTGTAGTGCAGATCTAAGCCTTGCAGTAACACAAGAATAAGAAACTACAAGGGCCTGAATAATTAGAACAGGTCTTTGGGCACATTTTGCCGTAGAGTTATAAACAGGGACTCTGCGGAATACGGCCTGCCTGGCAAACAAGGCGACGGATATCATATGGATAAAGATGCTTAGACTGGGTTCAGGTGTAATACTATCACCCACAGAGCTATACGGGGATACTACGTTTCGCTGCAGCTCAGCATCGTGCCGGGTATCTTTGAACGGAAAACGCCGGATATTCCCGACACTTGGACATCCCTGAAGATGGGAGTGCTGCGGCCAAAATGTCTGTTACACCTGCTTCGTTAACTCCAGAAGTCCAAGGCGACCTGCCTCAGACAGGAACGATGCCACAGAATCCGAGGCGGTACCTGGTCTGGAGTCTGGGGGATACCCAGGACGGCTTCTCCGGATCTTTCTACTGAAACTGCACATGCACGTTCCGGTCTACCGGCTTTGTGGACGTCCAAGGCGATGCATGACGTTTCTTTCCAGTCGGCAGTCAGATCGACAGGTGACCGTGCAATGTAGATGTTCTGCCTGTATTCTATTCAAAAGCATTCAGAAAGCATACCCACACCACACACTGCTAGGCGCCAAGCTCATGCCAATGCTCGCAGGCATCTCGTGGTCTGTTAGGTGGATTCTTGCAACACTTCGATGAAACCCTGGAGCTGACAAACCTTTTATCTGGTCAACCGGGAATCCGTCGAGGAAAGTGAGCATGACGATTTAAACTTAAAAACAGTTTGATCTCACAGGGATGTTCTCTCTGTGAATTCTTGCGCAACCCAAAAAAGCCCTCGTCGTTCTACGCCTGGTGCGCCATCTGAATCTGCTGCCGCTTCTGAAGGCTCCGCCACGGCCTCCTGCCCAGTGCCCTGGCGTCTTCCAATCAAGATTTGCCATGGTAGCAACAAGTATATGGGGGTTTCCGGAAATACGGGACCCTTATATAGTACCCCAAGTAATAGGATCCTGATTAATCTGATTATAACGTATCCCTAAATTTTCGGAAACTCCCATATGGATGAGTCAACCGGATGCTGCCGCAACTGGCAGACATAAGCTCACAGGAACTAGGGTCATGGATAAGGTAACCATACTTGTGGTTGAATGATGAGTGCTTATAACTAACCCAAATAAGCTCTTCTAACCTAACTTACCCAGTCCCCTGATCCTGCAAGTAGTTGTGCCGATGGCGTCTCACGGTCCTGGCCTTCTTCAGCTGCAATAACTTTTCCTCAGTGGTTCCAATCTGGCATCGACACAGCGATCCCACTTTCGTTGGTGTGACAGTACGATCTCCTAAACACCGAAATTAAGGTGGCAAGCCCATCAAAACACCCTGGAGTGCTGGGTCAATGCGCATCAAGTCACCCGCAGTTTCTCGACTTTGGCCTTCGCGTCCGCCGTGGGAGCCTGCTAGCATTCCGCAGTTCGGTGCATCTAGGAACTGAACAAGTAGCATTTCTGTTTGACGAGGCCTGACTGACATGCACCCCGTACTTTCAAGCAAATAAACAAACAAACACACACACACACACATACTTACATATATGCACTAGCACATGCCTCGACACACATGCATAATTGCAATATGTTGCAATGGCATACACTGCACGAACATACCTGCACATACAATCTCTCACACACACACAAACATCCACACATCCACTTTCATATCACTCCCCAGCCAGCCATCCAGCCAACCATCGAGCCAGCCATCCAGCCAGCCGTCCAGCCGTCCCTCGGTCCTTCCGTCCCTCCATTATTCCATCCCTCCCCTCCCCCAGTCCCTCCCTCCTTCCTTCCCTCCCTCCTCCCTCCATCCATCATCCATCACCAGCCAGCTAGCCAGCTTGCATGCACGCATGCATGCTGGCATGCATGCAGGCCGGCGGGTCTGCGTGCATGTGTGCATGGCGTCCCTGTCTGCATGCATGCACATGTATGTAGGCAGGTATGTTGATACGTGTATATGTATATATGCATGCAGACAAGCATTCTTCTTTTCAAAAACATCTGTTTGTCTCGGACTGCGGCGGCTACTGGAGAGCACCATGTGGTCTGTTGCGTGGCCGGGTTGTTTTTTCTGGAATGTTGTGGAACTTATTTCCCGACCATGTAATCACGATGCGGTCCCACTGCAGGTTGTTGGACTTCGCAAACTCCCAACGAGCCCGGCACCGCAAAACAGAGCCGAGATAATCCACCAACATACTACAGTACAGATCTGAGTTCTGAATTCATGCAAGAATTGAATTTTGGGTTTTTTCTTCTAGCTAATGAAACATCTACGAAACCAAACCTGAAGAGCCAACCCAAAACATAACCAAGTATACACACACACACACACACACACACATGTGAGCACATATCAACCTCCTCATCAATATCGATAGCAACATCCGCATCATTCGGCATCTGCATCTGCTTTTGTATCTGCCTCTAAGCTGCCTCTATATGTTTCTATCTCTATGAATGCACGTATACATGTCCAACGGCCAACGCACGAGCCTGGGTGGCAACGGCGGACAAGGCGGCCGGCATGGCAGTGGCGGCGCAAATGCCGCCCCAGCCATGCGGGGAAAGCAGCAACGTAACACTTCGTTATTTCCGTGTCAATGGTGAGCAAGCCCATGCTTTAGTTTTCACTTCCGATGCTAGGTCTTCTGTTGCCGGCCATAGCACCTAAGGCTTCGGCGGGGCGAGGGTGGAAACATGTGGAAACATAAGAGTTTGAACTACAGAATTGACAGCATGTCTAGAGAATTGTCAAAGCTGATGTTGGGCACGTAGGCTGTGCAGCACAATCACTACATCGATAAATGTTTGCATGCGTGTCGACATGCTTCAACAGTGCAAGGCATGAATTGCAACAACGTGCAACATCGCGTGTTCAGCGCGCATCTAATTCCGCCGTTGTTCACCTGTTTTCTTTGGTTTTGGTGGTCGAGGTCCTGGTGCTGGTGGTGCGACGGTGCTAAATGTTGCTCTTCCTGCTGGCATCGGCACCATGTTGTTTGGTAGCGGTGGAGGTGGCGGCAGTGGTGGTCGTGTTAATGTTGTACGCTGCTGCAGTTTCTATTGCTCCCGCTGTGGCTGTCGCTATATCAGTCGTCGTCGTACAGAATTTCACGCGCCAGGTGCATCACGTGTTTGATGTTTTTGTTTTCATGCACACTTTGTACGACCGGTACGAGCGCGATCCCAGTGCACCTGCAGTCTACACGTTGTTCCTGCCGCTCCGCGGGCGTTGGCTGGGGGCAGGGGCGTGCACCTAGCGTTCCTGTCACGGTGTCGAGGTGGAGCTCAAGCAAAGAGCTGGCGAGGGCCGTCTGCGCCGCGGCGATGATGCTGCTCCAGCGAGACACATAGGCCGCACGCAGAGCCGACCTCACGGCAGCATGCGCGCGTAAAGCTCGCGCTTGCGAGAGGAGCCTGAGGAAGGTTGTGGGCTCGGGACCCCAACGGCCACCAACCTCAAAAGTTGCACCCAAGGATCGAACGTTACTCGGTTTTGGCTGGCCAACAGCTGCTGTGAGCATGCACATGTGTGCTGCAGCGAATATCAATCCAAGCTTGCATCTATGGGTCAAGGGTAACACAGATTTAGCAGATCAATTGCTGCTGCACCCAAGGGTCGAGGTTTACAAGGCTTTGGCCGACCAATGGCTGCTGCGAGCACACACATGTGTGTTTCACAACAAGTTAAATCAGGGCTGCACCCCAGGGTCGACATGTTACCAGGGTCGGCCGACCAGGTGCTGCTGCAGCCCTGGTGAGATTTCGACCCTGGGTGCAACCCTGATTTTTGCAACACAGATGTGCATGCTCGCAACAGCACTTGGTCGGCCAAACCTTCGTAACCCGTGATTCTTGGGTACAAGCCTCACTTGTCCTCTCTGCTCGCAGTAGCAACTGATCTGCCAAACCCTCGTGACTCGTAACCGTGGCCCTTCCTCCGTATTATCAATGATTCGGAAAGATTCTGAACTGAAACACATCCAGATTGTGGAGCTCCTCCGCAAATTTGCCGAGCAGAGCGTTTTTTTTTTTCTCTCACGCCTTTTTACGACTGCAAAGGTCGTCTCAACTCCTCGTGTTACTACGGCTACGCGGCA